TGGTAACCACAAACCAAAAACCTATAAGAAATTTATAAGAATAAAGAGAAAGGAGTCCAAATACTACACTAGAAAGTCATCAACATACACGAAAATAGGGAACACAAAACTACACAATCAGAAAACAATTAAATGGCAATAAAGTACATAACCTATCAATAATTATCTTTAATGGAAATTGATTTTTTAATGAAAGTTCATGAGCTGCCTACAAGAGACCCACTTCAGATTGAAAGACATGCAGACTGAAAGTAAAGGGATAGAAAAGGACTTAACATGCAAATGGAAAAGGAAAAATAGCTGAGAAAGCAATACTTGTATTAAAGACAAAATAGACTTTAAAACAAGGGCTATCACAAGAGACAGGCATTTCGTATTGATAAAGGGGTTAATCTAAAGAGGATCAACTCTCAACATTACACACCCAGTGTAGGAGCACCTAAATATATAAAATAAATATTGAAAGACATAAAGGAGAAATATATGTATTATAGTAATAAGGGATTTTACCACCCCATTGACATCAATGGATAGGTCATCCAGACAGAAAATCAAGGGAACAGCGGTGTTAATGACATATTAGATAAGAATGACTTAATTGATATTTTTAGGACATTTCACCTAAAAGCCTCTGAATATACATTCTTTTCGAGTGCACATGGAACATTTCCCAGGATAAATCACATTAGGCCAGAAAACAAGTCTCAGTTTAAGAATATTGGAATCATACCAAGCATCTTCTCCAATCACAATGATATGAAACTAAATTACAAGAAGAAAACTGAAAAACACAATGATGTGGAGGCTAAACAACATGTCACTGAACAATGAATGGGTTAATGAGATCAAGGAAGAACTGTTTTCAGTTCTTGAGAAAAATGAAAATGAAAACACAATGACTCCAAAGCTGTGGGACACAGTGAAAGCAGTTCTAACAGGGAAATTTAGTAACGTAGGCCTACCTCAGGAAACAACAAAATAGACTATTTAACCTTACACCTTACAGAACTAGGAAAAAAAAAAAACACTCAAAGTGAGTAGAAGAAAGGAAATAATAAAAATCAGAACAAACAAAATAGAGGCAAAAAAAAAAATAGAAAAGATTAATGAAACTAACCTGGTTCTTTGAAAATAAACAAAATTGGTAAAACTTTAGCCAGATTTATTAAGAAGAAAAAAGGAATGCCCAAATAGAATCAGAAATGAAAGACATGACAACCAACACCATGGTATACAAAGCATTATAAGGAAATACTACAATTATATGCCTATAAATTAGACCAGCGGTCGCCAACTGGTGGTCCGCAAGATCCGAAAGGTTGGCGACCGCTGAATTAGACATGACAGAAATTGATAAATTCCCAGAAATATACATACTTCCAGGAAGAAACATATAAATCAGGAAGAGACATTCTGAACAGACCAGTAACTGCTAACAAAATTGAGTCCGTTATTAAAAAACTCCCAACAAACAAAGTGCTAGGTCATATGGCTTTGACTTTTACCAAACATTCAAAGAAGACTTAACGCCTATTCTGCCCATACTACTACAAAAATTTGAAGAGGGAAGACTCCAAACTTATGTTACAAGGCCAGCCTTAACTTGATACCAAAACCAGACAAAGACACTACACAAAAAGAAAATTATAGGCCAATATCCCTGATGAACATAGATGTAAAAATACTCAACAAAATATTAGCAAACTGAATTCCTCAATACATTAAAAAGATAGGATTATCAAGTAGGATTTATTCAAGGTTGGTTCAATATCCACAAAACTATTAACATGATACATAACATAAACAAATGAAGGGTGAAAATCATATCCATAGATACAGAAAAAGCATTTGACAACATCCAGCATTGATTTATGATAAAAACCTGTCAGCAAAGTGGGGATAGAAGGAATATACTTCAACATAATAAAGGACATACATGAAAAACCCACAGCTAACATTATACTTAATGGTGAAAAGCTAAAGTGTTTTCCTTATCAGGAACAAGATAAGGATGTTCATTTTCACTATTTACATTCAACTTGGTATTGGAAGTCCTAGCCACAGTAAACAGACAAGAAAAAGAAAATACATTCACATTGGAAGAGAAGAAAAACCAATTATTTGCAGATTATATAATACTATATAGAGAGAACCCTAAAGAATCCAAACATAAAAACTGTTAGAACTCTCTCCTTCTTCATTCTTCCCTTCCACTCTTTCTAAATATCATTGGGAAAAATATCCTCAGGTGAGGAATAATAATAATTTTTAAAAAACTATTAGAACTAATAAATGAATTCAGTAAAATAGAATACAAAATTAATGTTCAGAAATTGGTTGCATTTTATACACCAATAACAAACTATCAGAAAGAGAAACTAAGAAAGCAATCCCACTTACGATTGCATTAAAGAATAAAATACCTAGGAATAAATTTTACCAAGGAGTTGAAAGAATTGTACTCAGAAAACTGTAGGACTGAAGAAAGCAATTGAAGGGGATACAAGTAAATGGAAGCATATACCATGCTCTTGAATCGTTAAAATATCCATACTACCCAAAGCAATATACAGATTCAATGCAATCCCCATCAAAATACCAATGACATTCAAATAGCTAAAACAAATAATCCTAGAATGTATATGGAACCACAAAAGACCTCAAATAGTCAAAGCAATGAAGAAAAAACAAAGTTGGAGGGATCACACTACCTGATAGCAAACTACTACTAGTACAAGGCTATAGTAATTAAAACAGCATGGTGCTGGCATAAAAACAAACACATAGATCAATGAAATAGGGTAGAGAGCCCAGAAAAAAACCCACACCTATATTGTCAATGGATCTATGACAAAGGCAAAGATATTGAATGGAATAAAGACAGTCTCTTCATTAAGTGGTGTTGGAAAATTGGACAGACACAAAAATATGACACTGGATCATTTTCTTGCCATATACAAGAATAAAAAAGTGAATTGAGGACTTAAATTTAAGACTCAAAACCATAGAACTCCATAGAAGAAAACATAGGCAATAAACTCTTAACATTGCTCTTAGTAATAATGTGTTGGATATGTCTCCTTTGGCAAGGAAAAAATAATCAAATGGGACTACATCAAATTAAAAAGTTTTTGCACAACAAGGAAACTATTCATCTAGTTCTATGAAAAAATGTTCCCAGGAGTCCACACAATGGGACAAATGATTCCTCAAAATGAAATTAGGATGCAGTTACCAAAAGAAGGGAAATGAACTCTGGAAGCTAAAAAAGCAACATATGTCCACTGTACTATTTAACTTTGTGTTAATGCAGAATTATAGTACAGTGCTAATTATAAAAACTATCAAAATGAATTTGTTTTGAATACAGTGATCGCAATTATTGTCATTTAACCTATGTTGGAGGATTTACCACATTGAAGTTCTTACAGGTTTCTCTCCCACTTAGCAATGAGTTCCATGTGTTCCATAAAGCAGTTAAGTTAGAAAATGAGGAAATGGAGACTTTTAAGATCATATTGAAGAGGACTTTGTAATAATTTCACACTTCCTAGAATCTGTCGTCATCTCCTTCCTGATTTACCTAATCATATTGTACTTACTCATCAAGACTCAGGGCAGGCATTGCCTCATCCAGAAAGACTTTCTTTGTTACACCCTCTATCACATCCCATTCTGCGTTACAGGCCATTCATCATGGTGCATAACGCCATTATTGTTCTCATCCCACTGATTCATACTGGTTGATTTGTCTGTCTCCCACACCAGCCAGGCTGGCAGATTGTCTTGTTTTTCTTTGATTCTCCAGTCCCTTACAATGTCTACACATCAAACATTCAGTAAATATTTGTTGAGTGATTGAATAGATTTGCCAGGGAAAGGGGGTAAGACATTCCATTTGGGAACCAGCATGTATAAAGATGTGGCACATGGTATGTTCAGAAATGGTGAGAAATTCCATAGGATTGAAGCATAGAAAGATTAATGGGAGAAGAGACTGCTGAGTTAGACTAGAGTTGGTCTTTAAAGGACCACCTATGCCAAGTTTAGTCAGCTCCGTAGGCTAGGCCTTAGGAACACATAATGAGATTTGGCAAAGATGCTAGAGACTAATTGGTGACTGAATCCTGGTTGGGTGGAGCTAGCAAAGAGAACCCTCCATGGGGAATAATGCTGTCTCTGGTAGTTAAAGAGGCTCAGGGAGCAAATTCAGCTACCATGCACTAGGCACTTTCCTAGGCACTGGGGACACGGTTCCTGCTCCCATGGAACTTTTATCCTAGTAAAGAAGACAGATTTAAAACAGTGGGTGGACATAAAGGTATAGGTCCACATTCTCAAACCTAAAATACCGTGTTGCAACTAAATGATCCAGAACAGCAGCCTCCAGGAGCACTGAGGCAGGCTGGAGAGCATTTCATCCCCAGAGTGCGTCACAGAGCCCCTTTCCTAGCCATGTCCCAGCCACTCACTGCTAAGTGTTTATAAGAATAACGATCAGTATTACACGTGTTCTTTAGGACTCTGTCTAAAATAAAAGTTTTGTAAGCCCCAGATTTTTAGAAATAATGTGCGTAACACTTAGGTCTACTCTCCAAAAAGTTGCAGAGAGGGGAAAGATAATTTTGTCACCATGATACTTTCTTTTTTAGCAAAAGAGATTTTACACTACACCTAGGGGTATTAATTTTTAAAGGTTAATTAATTGGGCAAATACATGCTAGTATAAATAAAAGCCAGTCGTTGCCAATGTTATTGGCAAGTTGTGTGTGTAGTTTACAATTTCTAGTGCCTGAAAAATAATCTGACATTTTTATAACTTAATCTATAACTTTGCCAAGTGTTTAGGGTTTTTTCTTCAATAGGATGAACTCTATTTAAGTAAGAGAATTTTTTAATTCTAGGTATAAACACTAGCGGATGCCAAGTAATCTAGTCTCGTTCTCTTCTCTCAGTTGTGGGCTCATTTAATGATAAAGGCTTTTCCCATTCTTTTCCAGGGTGCTGATAAGACTGTGAAAGGCCCAGATGGACTAACTGCTTTTGAAGCCACTGACAACCAGGCAATCAAAGCCCTACTTCAGTGATGGATGGATGGGCTGACAGCTCTGGAAGAATGACTCTCCTGTGGCCTCACACTGCTGCCTGTCTGTCTGTCACTCTCTATCTGCCAGCTTCTTCAGCTAAATACTTTAGGAGGGGTGAGGGGAGAGAGAAATTCATAACAAATCAGACTACCAGAAAACAAAAACAAAAACAAAAACCAATGTTTTGGAGGAGAGGCAAAAACTACAATCAGGCTTTTACAAAGCCTCCTGATCAAGTCAGCCTCTTTTCCATTTCCAAAAATACACAGATTATACCCAAGGGAGAGCAAAGACACATACGGTAACATTTGACCTTCTCAGCTCCCTAGCTAATTCATTAATTAGATTGTGTTGAGGGTCTGATTATACAAAGGCCAACTCTACATAATCGGTAGCCCTAACTGTGTGAGCAGTAGTGGCTGCTGTGATGTAAACTTAGGGTGCTGAGATAAGCAATTAGCTCTAGCCTTCTGCCTTAAGGTGCACTCTGGGGAATCTCCTGGTGTAGTGAAGATCGCTGCCTGTGGTTGGTGACCAAATCTTGCCTCAGTGACTTTCCGCCTTTACGCGAAAGCTCAGTGAAGGTGAGATGGGGCACACCTAAATTGCTAGATGCCTGAACTTTGGATTTCCTCTCCCCTTTCACATGGATTTCATGTATCTTTAGGTAAAACTGACTAGTTTTATTTATAAAATCTTAAATTTTGGAAGTCTATAGGAGAAACCATTCCAGTATGCATAAATTTTTCTCCTCTAGATTCAAATACTTATATAACATTGAAACACTTTTAAACTTTGCTGGTAGTAAAAGGGGATGTAAAACTAGAATCATAGCCATAAGCCTGTTAGTATCATACAAAGAGAGAACAGTTGTCTTCGTACCTATAGTTTTCTTCATTTGCTATTTGAATGGATTGGCCCCGGTTATGTGTGGAGAACAAGGAACATTGTTGGAATGTCTCTTTGACCCATCTTGAATGCTGATTACTTATTGCACCAAAGCTATCACTGGGGTGAGATTTACTATTTGGACAAATTTAACCCCCATCTCTTCAAAAATATGCTTGTTACCAGGTTCCCCAACTGTTGATAAACTTCTGCTGAACATAGGCCAGCCCACCTGCACAGTATATTTTTTATTCTTTTCTAAATCATGCATCATATAAAGTGTGACACTTTCAAGATGTACTCTGTGCCCTTAAATACAGCCCTAAAATAATTATGACCTGCAGAAAATGTTTAGACACATTTTCAAATGTTTATTTCTTGAGCAGTATGACTAATTAGAGCATATACTCTTAAATTTTGCTGTTGTGCATTTAAAATACTAAGATTCCTTTGACCTGCCACCCATTTAAGCTTTCTAAAAATATTAAGATTTTTCCTTAGCCATGTCATGCAATAACTAAATGTACCTCAAATTTTTAAAAACGGGGGGTTAGGGACTAGTATTCAGATTGTGGATAATAAAGAGTTATGGATGGTTTTTTAAGGCAATGTAGCATTCGACAGCAAAGTTAAACTATCAAAGAACCGTCAGCCTGGCTAATAAGTCTTATTGATCAGTTGCTGATTGGTTGGTGTGTGTGTGTGTGTGTGTGTGTGTGTGTGTACACGTGTGTACACGTGTGTACTTTTCCCCATGAACCCTTTTTTATCCTGTGGCTTTTTTCACTTAAGGCTAATTCTGCTGCCTTAATGCAGCCTGTTAGAGTCAGTAAAAGTCAGTATCAGTACTTCATGACCGCACTGAACTGAAACCTGGAGCCATCCTCATTGGAGATGGAGGGCACTCTATCAATCTTTAACCATCAACAAGGTGTTTTGAAATCTTTGTTTTCACCTCTTGACATAATGTGATCTAAAAGGCTTGGATTACCCTCTACACAGTTTTACCTTTACATCCTCCGTGTTTTGTTCTAGTTGGCTATTGCAGAGAGTGCACTGTCCTATCATTCCTGAACCTGGTCTGCTTCCCACAGTCACCGGTGTAGAAGCCAGGTGACTTTTTGTACAGTTTGCCCTGTGTTCCCTGTGATGCAGTGGAGGCTACTGCGCCTTCTTCTTTCCCAGTCTTTTTGTAAACCCCATAATTATGAAGCAGTTGCTTGAGAAAATAACATGTAAACATAGACTAGACTGGCCAAGATGGTTTACAATTTCTTTTTTTTTTTAACTAGGTTATTTATAATGTATTTCTGAACCACTTGGCAGAAAAATTCACAACACTTAATGTTCATATTTGAGTAAAGGAAGTTAAAACCATGTCTGCTTTTTTGGTACTACATGCATTAGTGAAAGGTTAAGTACGTTTTTTTTTCTCCACTGAAGTAATATTTAACATCTCAGCAAAAACCTTGCATGTTCTGTAGTTTTGTATTAAGTCAGTCATTTCGTATGCACTATAGCAATTAAAAACAGGTGTATAAAAACACCCGAGTGTTTACTATGCTATTAGTATACTAACAAATTCTCCCTTGCAGCTTCAGACTGGTATCTATAGACTTACAGTTCAAATACAGCACCTGAGTAAACCAAGTAGTTCTTCTATGCATAGCTCACCTTCTAAACCCAGTGGGGCATGAAGGGGAGGTAGGTGGTTCAGTGTGTGGAAGCTGCAAGCAAGTAGCCCCTTTATTCATTGATTCTTTTTCTCAAATAATGGAGTTCAAATCAGTATGTGCGTATTTGATTTTTTTCCCCTAACACTTCAATTAAGCTGCTGTTTTCTTCCATGAAATATTGCATACTCGATTGTGTATAGAAGCTGGTGAGAGTGCCCTCCTACATAAGCAGTTGCAGTGTTTTTGCATGCAAAATTTAAAGAATTTAAATTGTCCTGATTCTATTTTGTAAATGGAGAAACAATCATATCTTTCTAAGCAGTAACAGAGGAAGACTAATGCTTTGTGCATTTTGATATATTTGAGTTCATTTTTTCCACAATGTAATACTTTTGACACAATTGGGTTTCTCATATTATCCTAGTTCATGTACATCAGAATGCTAACTAATACTGTGTTTAAGTTTTGTGTTGCAAGAACAAATGGAATAAACTTGAATTGTGCTACAGCTAACATGTTGGAAGCCATTTTTCTCCCTCAGTTACTATCACCTCCCTTTTCCAGTCTTCACAACTGAACCAGTACTTTGATCAACTTAAACATGTAATTAATCTAAATTTTCTCCCTGAATCACACTTTCAGTGGAAAGAAAAATAAGACATAGGAACGATTTAATTCTGGCTGCTCATTGGGAAGTTTTGCTTTTGTGTCAGTCTCTTGATACAAATGGCTTTGCTATAATGTTGGGTCCATTACAAGGGACAAGGCAACCAGCACAGCCTGGGTCACCAGGGTCTAAATAAGTGTTAAAGTTGATCGATCTTTCACGTGCTCATGTAAGTTGCACCGTCCTTGAAGGGTCATCATTTTTTCCAAAACTCACTTGACCCTGAGCACTTTTATAGGGTATGTTTTTCAGTATAAATGTTCTGATTTAACATTAAACCACTTTAAACCTCAAAACTGAACATGATCGTAGGTAAAATTTGTGATTCTATTGTAATCTTGTTGATAATCCAAGACTATTGTGTAGTTTACTTTGAAATGGTCCAAAAATATGTACAGATGCTAAAATACAGCAAAAGCTGTCTTTCAGAACTTTCATGTGGTCGACAGAAGAGTACACACAGGTAGTATGTGTGGTTGTAGGTGGGAGTGTCCACAGAAAAGGTTATAAGCACTGAAGTTCTTGTTTTAAGAATTGAGGTCTATAAAAGTATTTAAGTCTGGCTAAATATGTGTTAAAGGGGACAGAGCCCCCTTATATAATTGAAGAGAAGACCAGTATCTGCTGATGGTAAGCACATCTATAGGAAAGAAAGAGTTAAGGATGAGTTACTGCGAAATTGGTGATTAGAGAGCAGCCATCACAGGACTTTCACACAGCACAATGTATCAGACGGTTACAAGATTTTGTTTCTTCCTGCATTGCCAGTGATTCTCAAAAGATGGTCCCTGGACTAATAATATCACCATAAACTGAGAACTTGATCGAAATGCCCAGCCCGGTCCTACCCAAACTATGGGGCTGGGTCCACAGTCTGCTGTAACAAGCCCTCCAGGTGATTCTGATGTACGCCCAAGTTTGAGGACCAGTGTACAGACCATAAAGGGAGAAACCAATGGTCAAAAAGCCTGGAAATAGGACATCATCAAGGCTAGCTTCCTAGAAAGTAAATGGAATCCTTTAACATGGGAGACGGTAAGACTCAGGCCAAGTCCTGAGCTCTGGACACCCAAGAAAATCTCAAGATGATATTCAAAGTTATGTTCAGGGCAAAAGAAGTCAGGGTAAGATGTAACAGTGGGTCCAAGGATTGGACACGGGTGAGAATAACCCCTCACTTTTATCAGGGCTTTTTCTCTGTAGGATGTCCTCTCACCTGGCTGTGGACAGTATTTCCATAGTCCAGGGTTACAGCCCCCACGCACGGCCGAATTCCTGACATTTAGGCCCTGCCCAAGTCCGCTCCTTGAATTCCAAAGGAGGGTGAGGGGAACAGCAGGAATTTGGGGGGAAGCGGCATGAGTCTCCTCTCAGGCTTGCCACATCACAGGTGCAGGGGAGCTCACTTTAGAGATGCACTATGGCTCCAGCAGCCAAGGCGCCTGGGAGATGAACTTTTTTGGGACTGTTTAACTCTGTATCCTCACTCTTGGCTAATTACCCCAAAGACGGAATGCCACCCAAAAGGACAAACGTGCCCTCACAGCGGTTCTCAACCTGTGGGTCGCGACCCTTTTACAGGGGTCGCCTAAGACCATCGGAAAACATATAATTACATATTGTCTTTGTGATTAATCACTATGCTTTAATTATGTTCAATTTGTAACAATGAAATTGGGTGTCACCACAACATGAGGAACTGTATTAAAGGGTCGCGGCATTAGGAAGGTTGAGAACCACTGGATAGAGTATAATAACTGCCTGATATTATCTTTTAACTTTTCCTTTAACATAGTGATACATTGTTCTCTCAGGAGGTCAATACAACTACCTGCCGTCTGGTTTTGCTATTAACCCCTAATATCCCCTTTAAAAAGGGACCCTGTACTGGGAGGGGTGTGGATTGTCCTGCCCGCCATCACTGGGTGCAGCTGCTTTGCCCTTTGCCCATGTAAGTTTCTCCTATTTAAAACCTCTTAATGAGTTTGAATAAGGCCACATGTCAGTTCTTTGGAATCCAATTCTGACCGCAGACTTTTGTGGTTTTTTCCCCAACAGCATGTCACTTTGAAATTGCTGCAACCACCTAATGGTGTCCCTCTGGCTTCTGGCTTGCCAGTCCGTAGCAGGGAGAGAGCCCTTCTGGGAGGCCAAAGGCTTTTCTCTCTCCCACTGCAGTGGGTGCCCCCTCGTGCCAAGGTTACTTCAGTTTTTAGGTCAAACTCTTTTCCCAAAATGCCAGCCAGAATCATTAGCATTAGGATTTTTTTTTTCCAAAGCTTTTCATTTGAATATTAATCCACTTGGATTGAGAAAAATTTATCAGCCAGCTTTTAAGAGGACCTGAACACCAGGGAAGAA